CAAAGCTCAGAAATGACCCTCAATCAAAGTGCGCATTAGCGCATAGTTATGAATAGCACAAAGCTCAGAAATGACCCTCAATCAAAGTGCGCACTCGGCGCACAGTTATGTATTGCACGATATTCAGAAAATGAGTTTCAATCAAGATGCGCACTCGGCGCACAATTGCGAATTGCACAATATTCAGAAAATGGCTTTCAACCGAGGTGCGCACTCAGAGCACAGTTATGAACGAAATGACCCTCAAGTATGACCCTCAAGTATAGTGCGCACGCTGCGCACAGTTACAAACTGTGGAGTACTTCAGATATGGCTCTCATGTATGGCGCGCATGCCGCGCACAGTTGCTTGCTGCGGAATGGCCTGATATGTTCCTCAAGCATAGTGAGCACATTGCGCACAGTTGCAGACTGCGAAATGCACAGCGTGACCACACTATCATTCGGCGTGGCTCAAAATCGGTTTGATGACTGTGCAGGTAATCTCAAAATCGGTCTGATTCTTAGAGTAATTGCGCTGGTAGTCTCAAAATCGACTTGATATTCTTGGTGCTCAATGCAGCTGCGCAGACACAGTCAAAGATTGCCCTCAAGTTCGGTGTGCGCAGACACACAGTTCGATTACAACCCTCAAGTACAGTGTGTGCGGACATACAATTCATGACCAATCATCAGGTACAGCGTGCGAGCGCATAGTTCAAGACCAATCAACGGATTCAACGTACGCATAGTGCGCACAGATCAGATACTGCATACACACAACCCATGGAGGGTGAGTGAAAAAGGAATGGAGGCGGTTGGAAAGAAGAGGGAGTGAAAGGGAAGAAGAGAAGAGAGAGAAGAAAAAGGATGAGAAAGGGAAAGTGAGGGACCAATTTTGCCCCCTCCCTTTCCTTATCCCTTCCCTGGCTTGCCTTCTGCTCGACTCTCTTGCCTCCTGCTCCGTGCTCCTCTCATGCTCCTGCTGGCAAGTCACTGTCCTTTGGCTCATGCCTCCCGCCCCTTGCCGTTCCGCCAAGGCTGCAGTGCTCCAGCAAGTGAGGGTTTTCTCACACTGCCTGATCTGTGCCGTCTATGCCACGTGCGCTGATCTGCCTTCTCTTGGGTGACGTGGCCTCTCTTTTATAATGGAGAGGCCAAGTGATTGGGGCTGAGTGCTGCAGTCCCATGGTCGGGGTTGTGGTCAAACTCCAGACCGGGCCTGTGCTAAAAATAGCAGCAGTCTTGACCTCGAGATATGAACAGTCAGTCCCGGCGACGAACAGTCAGTCCCATGCTAAAAATAGCGTGGGGCTGTGCTAATTTTAGAACGGGACTGACGCAGGCCCAGTCCCCGGTAGACGAACAGTCTGTCCCACGCTAAAAATAGCTTGGGACTTGTGCTAATTTTAGAACGGGACTGGTGCAGGCCCGACTTTGGGAGACGAACAGTCAGTCCCGTGCTAAAAATAGGACATGACCCTATCTTAATTACTTGGGCCTACCGGTCCTGCATTTGCTTGAATTGCCGCCCCCCCCTAAATGTCAGTGCCTTTCATTTTACCAGCCTTTGAAGGACCAATGGGCCCGAATGAACGACCGGTAATAACGAAGGAAAAGGACGACGACGAAAAGATATCTMAGGGGCATAAAACGCAACCCTGACGGGCTGCGAACAAAATCATCCAGGCCGATTGGGCCGAAGTGGGTGGGCTGGGCATGAGGCTGTAGGCCTGGGTCCACGCTGTTTCAAAAAATTTCAGACCACGGCCGCCTACCGGTTCCCAGGAAAATGCCACGGGCAGATACCGGTCCTGCATTTGCTTGAACTGCGCTCCCCCTCCTAAATGCCAGTGCCTTTCATTTTACCAGCCTTTGAACGACCAATGGGCCCGAATGAATGACCGGTATAACGAACGACGACGAAAATGTCTCAGGGGGGGAAAACGCAACCCTGACAGGCTGCGAACACCACCCTTCCAACTACCGCACCTTTTGGTGACGATGACGAAAAATGTTCCCAGGGCATAAAAAATGCAATGTTCCCAGGGGGGAAAACGCAACCCTGACGGGCTGCGAACACAGACGCGGAAGCCCACTATAGCGCAGCCTAAGGGCTGCGAACATTCCTGGGAGCAGGTAAACTGACTTGTGCCAATTTATGGCAGCCTCCGACAAAGATGAGAACTCATCCAACTTGAGTTTCAAGAGCGGCCACTTGAGATGCAAAATGTGAAAACAAAAAAGCATTTCTCTAGGGCGGGGTGGAACGAAAAACTTCGCACTTGAACTCAAGTGGCGTGGAACGAGGCTCTTAGTGGAACTTGGCCCCAGGGCCTCGTTGGCTCGGCAGGTCACGTTCGGAACTAACGCGTTTCTCATCAAAATGACAACTATTCTACCCAGTTAGGCCGTCTGCCGTTTCAGAGGCTCACGGCAGTCGGTATACCGTCCCAGGGGCCGTTTCGGAGTTTCACAGGTGGGCAAAGTCGCACGTGGGAAAAAAGAGCCTCGGGAATAGTGGTAGTTTAGGGTAGCCCTTGTCTACTGTAGGATCACGGTAGTTTGGGGATAAACCCTGGTTCAGTCCAAGAGTTGTCAGAGCTCCGTGGAGAATGGGGAGGTCTCGTCTGGGCAGATGGTTGGGACTCGGGAGGGATACGGGACGTACGGAGACTTTATTCGGGCCGGGAAGTTCTCCTTCCCGAGGAACGACAAGAAAATATAGCCCAGTCTGTGATCGGGTAGAGGGATGCTGATCAAATTTGAATGAATAGGTCGGTGGAGGGAAAGACCGCGCCCCGCGTTGAGGTGAGCGGGGAGGGGAGAGAGGCGGTGGTGGGCTCGAGTGTTCTCCGCGTGTCTTGCTTCCCGCGGGGAGGAGGGGAAGGGTGGAATTTGGGGTACTCGGACTTGTAACACGGTGGGCCATGATCTAACGTGAATCGTGTGGAAGGTGAGTGTGGTCACATAGAATTATTCTGAGAACACCGGAACACCGGCCTGTTCGAAGCAGTAGGAAGGGAAAAGGTGAACGACAAGGAGCCAGACGTTCGAAAGAGGAGAGGGGAGGAGGGAGCGGGAGGAGAGAATCAGAGGTGGGTGCATGCTGGCTGCACGATCTGCCGTCCTGCGCAGGCAGGCAGAGAAGAGCGCGCGAGGAATTTCGCGCTGGTTTTATGTTCTTTGTTCCCCGCCCTGGAAATTACCGATCGTTGTCACTACTGTTGGGGGGCGAAGTCTGCGACTCCTCGTTGGGGAGGGGTTCGAGAATTGCGCGCTAGATACGGAGGGTGCTTTTGATCACGGACCGTACATGCGCGTCCTTTGCTTCGGCCTCACAACCCCATCTATCCGGTGTGTGTGTGTGTGTGTGTGTGTGTGTGTGTGTGTGTGAGAGAGAGAGAGAGAGAGAGAGAGAGAGAGAGAGAGAGAGAGAGGATTGATTGATGCCTATTCCAGAATGGATTGCGCAATGGCACCAACGTCTCCATGGGCAGATTGTACAAAGGGGGGGAGAAAACAGCGGCACGGAGGGGAGGAGGTTGTTAGGAGAACGGGAGGGAGGGAGATGGCTATGGCGAAGAGGAGCCAGCGTGCGTCAAGGGTCTACGAGAGATGGCGGGATCTGGCAAGCGCTGCGACGGAAATGGAAATGGCCGTGGGAACTGCAGCCGTTCGAAGACCGAGCGGCTGCGTTCAAGCGCAAGCGGCTGGAGGGTTTTAAGCAATTCGCTCAGGCCGCCAAAGCCGAGAACTTAAACGATCTCCGAGACGTAATTGGTGCCATGATCTTATCAGAATGCGTGTACAAGGTACGTTTTCCCTGGACGAAAATGAACTCACACCTCTCCATCCCCCTCTTCCACTTCCTCCTATCGTCTCGCGCCTACCTTATTTTTTCTCTTCCAGCTCGATCTGGGGGACGTGATCGGCCCCTTCGTATCAGAACGCGTGCGCAGCGTACCTTCGTTGGTCGCGAAGACATTTTGGAATTCCCCACTAACCTATCTTTTCACGTCCCTCTCCTCTCTCTCTCTCTCTCCCCCTGCCCCTCCTTTCCCTCTCTCTCATCTGCTGGTTTGGCGAAAGCTTTATCCCAGGGCTTCTATCTTTCCTTCCCAGTTTCAGTCGTTGTTGATGAACGGCTGTAAATTAGAGCAAACCGCAACCCTTTCGATGAAAGCCAAAGATTGGACGAGGATTTAGGACCTTTGAGCTTGTATATGGAACAACGATAACAAGATAGCCGAGTAGGAAACGATCAGAAAACTGCCGATGTGGATGAGGACTCGCGCGCGCTCCAAGATAGCGCTGTCGGGAAGCAAGTGAGAAAACTGTCGCCGATGGTACGCGCTCTAAGAAGTGACAGTCTGGTTACCGCAGGGTACGGTGGGATCCGGGTTGCGCCATGTCTTGCGCGCGCAGGTCGCATCCTGTGTCCATTCGTCATTTGGTTACAAGACGGTATGGGAGACAGGTTTCCTTTGCCATCATTATGAATGTATATCAAGCTGTATTTCCTGTCCGATACAGTCTGGATGAGGGTTCGTTGTGCTGTGGGGAAGACGGTAGTCTTTCTGCTTGGCGCAGAGACTGCCCGCGGCGTAGTCTGCCTCCCTCCCTAGGGCCATAGCCATAGCCTGTCTATGCCACAGCGTGCCCGTGCCACAGCGTTGGACGACAGGTTGCCTGCGCCATAGGTCCCGAGGGTCGCGGCTTGCCGCTGACATGCCGTGGCTGCGCCACAGCCTGCCTGATCTGCGCATAGGCTCCCCGCGGCAGAGGCACCATACGGTCCCTCACGTATGATTATCATGGATGTAGCCTGTCTGCGCCAGTTCATACTGCCCGGCACTGCCTGTGTGCGCTATCACCAGCTCGGCATAGCTTGTCTGCTTGCGCCAGCGCCTGTCTGCGCCAGTTCATGCTGGCCGTCACCGCCTGTATGTGCCATCGCTTGCCCGGCATAGCTTGTCTGCCTGTCTGCCTGCGCCAGCGCCAGCGCATACTTGCCGTCACTGCCTGCTTGCGGTACCATCCACACGCCCTTCCGCTCGCCTGCGTCGGCCGTAGCTTGTCTGCGCGACAAGCTCCCTAGGTCCATGAACATATCCCTGCGCAAATTCCCGCTTGCACCAGGGCATGCTTGCCGTCACCCCCCGCGTGCCCTACCGCCTGCCCGCACTACTTTGTACCTGCATTAGATTGTCTGCGCCACAAACTCCCTAGCAGCCTGTCTGCTTGCGCAAGCGCCCGCCTACATGAGTGCATGCTTGCCGTCACCTGCATCAGCGCATACATTGTCTGCGCCATAAACTTCCTACCGATAGGTCCCGTGTCGCAGGGCTTGCGAGCCTTCCGTCCTTTTGACACGTCGTGCCTGCGCCACAGCTTGTCTGCAGACTACTCGACCTGGCAGTGTGTATTCACCCTATGCCTTCGTGTTTCTACAAGAACACCAATCAGCGCAGCCTGCGCAGCATGCTTGCATGGGCGCTCAGCCTACCTGCGCCGTGAACCACCTTAGCCATGAACCATGTGTCCGCCTTAGCCGTGACTATCTGGCCGCCTTAGCCGTGACTATCTGGCCGCCTTAGCCGTGACTATCTGGCCGCCTTAGCCATGGACTATCTGGCGCATGGTCTTCCTGCTCCATCGTCTCTCATCACCTTCTTCTTAGTGCGGGGTTTAACCTTAGCTGTTCTTTTTTTTTTTTTTTTTTTTCAATGTACCTTCACTATGTGCGCAGTTTCTGTCGGAGTCTCATTGCGCCATATAGCCGTTATGTTTGCTATGAGCTGCTTTGTCAAAAAAAGAGTTTCTGTGGTACCCCCTTTCTTAAAACCTGCTTTCATCGCCTCTGCCATGAACTGCTGGCGATTGACTCGAGAGCCTTTTCTATAGTGTCCAATTCTGGCTGTGCTGCGCTATAACTCGTCGACGCCCATTGCGTCCTGGCCTGCTGGCTCCGGCACCTAGCAGCCCCATGATTTGCTTTGGGCACATGTGATTTAAAGCCTTTTCTTTATCTTTTTAGTAAAACTTTTTTTTAAATATTTCTTTCCTTTTTATTTTAAGGAATTGAAACCTTCGAAAAAGAAGAAATGGGGAGAGAGCATCTGATCAGTATGCTGCAGATAGGCTACGGGTGTAGAACCAGCGTTGCGCGCTTCTCGCTCTCGCAATCTCATCGTCGGGCCGGTCTCCAGACCCCTTTTCTAGAGGCAGCCCTTTCTTCCTCACATTCGCGGTCTGGCATCAGACATTTACGTTTCATCTACTCGATACTTTCTCCTCCTCCTCCTCATCATACTCATTTTCGACTTTCCCTGACTAGTCGTTACCCCGCAGCCCGACAATGTTAAAAAGGAAGCCGTTTCTCTGCACGTGTCCATAGAAACAAACACGCGCGCGCACACACGCACACTTTTATATATGCGGACAGCACACACGGAAGAGAGAGAGAGAGAGAGAGAGAGAGAGAGAGAGAGAGAGAGAGAGAGAGAGAGAGCTCGGTCATCCAAAGGTACGGTTGTTTGGGATGCAGCTTGCAGGCCAAGGCAGTGGAGAGAATGAAAGGGGGGCGTCTTGTGCAGATTTGCAGATCAGGAGTTCACTCCTGACCAGCCATGTGCCGTTGTTGCGAAGAGCAGATTCTGTGTTTGCCACTGAATTCACCTTGGAAACGATCATGCTGCAATCAAATGTAATCTTGAAATCCAACGGGCACACGAGGAGGCGGAAGATGAAATCGGAGGAGGAAGCGGGGGAACAAAAACATGTAGAGGGTTGTCCCTGCTGTATCCGTTCTCTAAGCCTGTTCTGACCGAAAATCATAGAGCTGCTACCGCAATAGTACGCCCAGATCCCAACCGTCCCCTTCGTCCCTCCTCCTGACCCTCCATCGTTCCTCCACCACCGTAATGACAACTCCTGCGGCCCTCGAAAATCGTCTCCCCCCACCCGCTCACCAGAGTCTTGCCACGTGTACAATTTCCCCAAGCCAATCAAGGGTTCCACGGGACAGGTACCCCACTCAAAGGGCAACCCACTCTCCATGACATCATCCTTTCTCAACCCCCCCTCCTTTCACCACCACTGCGCTCAACATCCCTCGAAACAGAGAAACAACATTTTCATCTTCGTTGAGACACAGCTACAAAATATCTCCTCGTTCTTTTCATCTGATGCCATCAGGATTCGAACGGATGATCTTGTAGTGTGTCAACAGTCACATGTGTATACCATTCAGAGCGACAACATTTCTCCTTACGCCACGGCTACATCCATTAGTAGCGTATGTTTAGACAATACGAAGCATATCTGGATAACATACACTCTTACACCGTGGACATAATAGAGAGTAAGAAAAAGAAGAATTCTATCAGTGTCACGTCAATGTGCTTCATGTTCATACCCGAATCTGCACATGGATTGCTCCAACGCTAGCAGCTCGATTGTATATATATACACACACACACACACACACACACAGAGAGAGAGAGAGAGAGAGAGAGAGAGAGAGAGAGAGAGAGGCATAAGCGGTTTACAGGGACCCCCACTTTTCAGGCCCAGTTAACCCCGTCAACCCCGTCAACCCTGAAGAGTGCATTGGAGATCATTTTTTTTAGCTTGTTCTGTTTTTTTCTTTTCTTTTTGCCCTGTTTTATTTTTGGTCAAGGTCTGTGTGTGCCAGGTTTGGTGTTTGTTGGGGTCTTGGAGTGATTGTGTTGGCTAGCCCTGAAAAATCCTGAAAATCCTAAAAACTGAAAAGAGTGAATTTTGCATGAAAACACACTTTTGCGTTGGGGTTTAAAGCCCCTTTGACGATTTTTTTTACTTTGTTGGTTTACTTGGTGTCCACTCTATGGACTGGTGACAAGTCTGCCTTAAAAGGTGTGGGACGTTTAGTATAATGACCCTGAAAAAATCCTGAAATTTTAGGGCTCTGTTAACAGCCTCTCCATACCTTGAGTGTTTAACATGGTACCCTTGGCATAGCCATGACGGAACGGCACTCTTCAGAACCAGCCCAATTGGATATTGGGCCACGTGGGAACTATGTCGATCTACTGGTATTCAGGCTGTGAAATTTGGCTTTCGCCTTTGTTCCGCAATGAAATGCCAGTGTGGGCAGGAACTATGGTGATGTACGGGGTGTTTATTTATACCAGTACACATCTGTTGTTGCCACTCATTCATTCCCTCGTTAGTCATTCCATGCAGTCTCTCCCTGCTGTCGATGTGCCTATGGTGTGCGATATTATCCTGCCGTCTTATCTCCCAGCAGTAGGGAAATCCCTGAGAGATGGTTAACGGGGGGCCAAATATTTGCCGTTTTTGCCGGCAATTTCGGTGCAAAATTCATCGAAAATTTCAAAAACAAACGATATGGGCCCATAGTGTCCGAATTAAAATGACGGAATTCAATGACATGCCAACTTTTTCATTATTGATCCAAACATTTCAAAACTGGACACATGACGTATCCTAGAGCACATATATGTCACAAGAAAAGAAAAACAAGAAAAAAGCAAAAAGACAGCACAACAAGAAAAAAGCAAAAAAACAGCACAACGTGACAGTTTCGGTGCAAAATTCGCCGAAAATAACACCCCTCGTTAACCACATGTGAGATCCCTGGAATTGCTTCATGAATTCAAGGCTTCTGAAGGGCTTACGTCAGGATCCCCACTACACGGCCACTTTTCGGGTCACAGATGAATGCCAATCCGTTGAACCGGTCCGGTCCCCATCAGTGAGTCAAAGATGGCTATTCCATGATATGCCCCCCCCCCCCCCCCCCCCCCCC